ATATATATAGACAAAATATAAGATATTTAAGCGGGAAGCACACATTCTTGCATAACGACATAAAACCCATTCTACATTAATCGTAAATCGCAAGGTCGCAAAGAAATTGACTAATCATAGTCGATTGTTCTTCTTGCAATCGAAGGGCGCTGCACACGAATGGACATAACAGTAACGTAAGACGTACCGTAAAAATGGACCAATTACAATCGAGTATTCACAAAAATAGCGACCTTACGGTTCGACGATACTCAAAGTGATTGGTCAGTTCTTACAGTACGTCTTATGTTACTGTTATGTCAATTCGTGTGCAACACCCCTTAAGTGTGGTCTACAATGAGAACCTAAGCCATAAAATTTAAGCTTTAAATCCTAAGCCGTAAGAAGTTGACCAATCACAGTCAATTATAAGAAAAATAATTTCTTACGGCTTAGAGATTAAAGCTTAAATTTTATGGCTTAAGTTCTCATTGTAGACCATGCTTTAAAGGCTTTCTACAATAAGTAATAAGTTTTAAGTCGCAATAAAATTGACCAATTACAGTGAATTACAGATTATTCTTCTAATAGTCGACTATGATTGGTCAATTTTATTATGACTTAAGATTTATTGCTTATTGTTGAATGGGCTTATTATATGTAGCAGCACATTGTTTATCGTGTGCAAATTTTCGTCGCGTGGCAAGCGTTGCCGCGTTCTATGTACAGAAGCCACTATAGTAAAAAAGTAACGATGAATTTCGTTACTCGTTATTAAAGAAAATGTAATGCCGTTACTTTTTCGTTACTGATACAAAAAAGTAACGACGTTACCAAATCGTTACCAAAAAAAGTAACGAAATAGTAACGTCGTTACAAGTAACGCGTTACTTCCCAACCCTGTGTTTTTCCTGCTGAATGCAGTCAATAACATTATTCAAAATTTATCATTATTTTATTTTGAATTTTACTAAATATACGCAATGAGCGTCATTTCTATGTATTTTTCTAGCTTTATTAATTATCAAAATAATTATGTATGTATTTATAGAGGAATTTTGCATCTACGGTAGTTGGAACAATAGTTCTCACTGATTATAATAATAACACGTATCGCATTGAAGATGTTGATTACAACGCGAATCCAAAATCAACGTTCCCTATGAAAGACGGCGAAATGAGGTCGTATGTTGATTATTATTATAAGAAATACGGTATCAAAATTACGGATTTCAACCAACCGATGCTTCTGACAAGAAATAAGCCAAAGGACCGACAAGCGGATGAAGGAAATGCTGTTTATCTAGTACCTGAACTATGTCGTGCTACAGGTATGGGCAATTTTACAGTCTGTCGGTAATCTGTAATTTCAGTATTAAGACTTCGTTTTTTCGATTGACGATGTTATTGCGCGCCGAGAAATAAATACAATATATTAATATACGATACAAATTTTTACAAAATACATTAAAATAAAACGATAATACATTAAATGACACTTATAATCGATTTGAATATATTTATAAAATATTCTGAAAACTTTTGCTGTGACAATAAATATCAATTATTTATTGATTGTGAGAACTAAAGGAATATTTTACAAATGTGCTTAATTGTGATCCTAAGGATCACTTTACGGATATATCCTTTTATTTTACAAGAATTTTGAGCACGTGTTTTATCACTTCTGACGTCATCAATCGAGAGTTCTACGCCGAGAGACCAGGAATCTTAATCATTCCAATTATTCTGCGCTTGTTATTGTATTTTGCTAAATGAAACAACAAGAAAATGTTACTTTGTATAATTTGTTTACTTATTCATATTTCTTATTTTTCAATTTTGTCTGTTTACTTCAATATATTATTATTGTAACTTTCAGGTTTGACTGACGCAATGCGAGACAATTTCCAAATGATGAGAAGTTTGACTCAATTTACATGCGTCAATGCAGCAGATCGTATTGACAGATTGTTATCATTTAATAAAAGACTTCACGACAAACTTGAAGTTCAAAAAGAACTCAATCAATGGAACCTGACGTTGGATAAAAACTTGATTGAAATTAATGCACGGGTTTTGCCGCCAGAAGATCTGATATTTGGTGGCAATGTACCTGTTAGGGCTACACGTGGCGATTGGGGTAGAGAAATGCAAAGTAAACGATGTTTAATTGCCAAAGAATTGATAGACTGGGTTGTTATTGTTTCAGAACGTGAGAGACGCACTGTCCAGGTACTTCTACATGTTCTCTCTGTCTCTCCCTCCCTCCTTCTTCTCTTTTCGTGTGCGTGCGTGCGTGCGTGCGTGCGTGCGTGCGTGCGTGCGTGCGTACGTACGTACGTACAGGGTGTCCCGCGTAAGACGGACCAAAAGAAAAATATAAGTAAAACACATAAAAGTGAACAAAAATTGTATAGGTCATTTTTCAAACAACCATGTAAAATTTCGAGATATTAATTAAAATAGTTGAGCATATCAGAGCGCGGCGACACGGCAGATGGGACATACGGCTCGCCATGACCGGTGAAGAAAATGGATGATTGTTCGCGGGCCTATCTTATAGGCCAGAGAGGTGGGCCGTTTGGCATACTGAAATGAGTAGCTCCGTGTGTGCGTCCGTGTACGTGTGCGTTCTTCCATTTTCTTCGCTTTATATATATATATATATATATATATATATATATATATATATATAT